AGGTCTAAGTCTCATGGCCCTCTATCAGAATCCAGAGTTTTGGGAAGATTGGAGAAACTTAATTTTTCGCCCAAAAAAAAAAACGTAAGGGGTACCACTGTCGTTTTTTTTTCGGGCCGAATTTTTGAGTTTCGATATCTCAGCTCTGGAAGGGGCTAGAGCCTCCATTTTTGCACTCAGGTCTAAGTCTCATGGCCCTCTATCAGAATCCAGAGTTTTGGGAAGATTGGAGAAACTTAATTTTTCGCCCAAAAAAAAAACGTAAGGGGTACCACTGTCGTTTTTTTTTTCGGGCCGAATTTTTGAGTTTCGATATCTCAGCTCTGGAAGGGGCTAGAGCCTCCATTTTTGCACTCAGGTCTAAGTCTCATGGCCCTCTATCAGAATCCAGAGTTTTGGGAAGATTGGAGAAACTTAATTTTTCGCCCAAAAAAAAAAAACGTAAGGGGTACCACTGTCGTTTTTTTTTTCGGGCCGAATTTTTGAGTTTCGATATCTCAGCTCTGGAAGGGGCTAGAGCCTCCATTTTTGCACTCAGGTCTAAGTCTCATGGCCCTCTATCAGAATCCAGAGTTTTGGGAAGATTGGAGAAACTTAATTTTTCGCCCAAAAAAAAAAAACGTAAGGGGTACCACTGTCGTTTTTTTTTCGGGCCGAATTTTTGAGTTTCGATATCTCAGCTCTGGAAGGGGCTAGAGCCTCCATTTTTGCACTCAGGTCTAAGTCTCATGGCCCTCTATCAGAATCCAGAGTTTTGGGAAGATTGGAGAAACTTAATTTTTCGCCCAAAAAAAAAAACGTAAGGGGTACCACTGTCGTTTTTTTTTCGGGCCGAATTTTTGAGTTTCGATATCTCAGCTCTGGAAGGGGCTAGAGCCTCCATTTTTGCACTCAGGTCTAAGTCTCATGGCCCTCTATCAGAATCCAGAGTTTTGGGAAGATTGGAGAAACTTAATTTTTCGCCCAAAAAAAAAAAACGTAAGGGGTACCACTGTCGTTTTTTTTTTCGGGCCGAATTTTTGAGTTTCGATATCTCAGCTCTGGAAGGGGCTAGAGCCTCCATTTTTGCACTCAGGTCTAAGTCTCATGGCCCTCTATCAGAATCCAGAGTTTTGGGAAGATTGGAGAAACTTAATTTTTCGCCCAAAAAAAAAACGTAAGGGGTACCACTGTCGTTTTTTTTTTCGGGCCGAATTTTTGAGTTTCGATATCTCAGCTCTGGAAGGGGCTAGAGCCTCCATTTTTGCACTCAGGTCTAAGTCTCATGGCCCTCTATCAGAATCCAGAGTTTTGGGAAGATTGGAGAAACTTAATTTTTCGCCCAAAAAAAAAACGTAAGGGGTACCACTGTCGTTTTTTTTTCGGGCCGAATTTTTGAGTTTCGATATCTCAGCTCTGGAAGGGGCTAGAGCCTCCATTTTTGCACTCAGGTCTAAGTCTCATGGCCCTCTATCAGAATCCAGAGTTTTGGGAAGATTGGAGAAACTTAATTTTTCGCCCAAAAAAAAAAACGTAAGGGGTACCACTGTCGTTTTTTTTTCGGGCCGAATTTTTGAGTTTCGATATCTCAGCTCTGGAAGGGGCTAGAGCCTCCATTTTTGCACTCAGGTCTAAGTCTCATGGCCCTCTATCAGAATCCAGAGTTTTGGGAAGATTGGAGAAACTTAATTTTTCGCCCAAAAAAAAAAAACGTAAGGGGTACCACTGTCGTTTTTTTTTCGGGCCGAATTTTTGAGTTTCGATATCTCAGCTCTGGAAGGGGCTAGAGCCTCCATTTTTGCACTCAGGTCTAAGTCTCATGGCCCTCTATCAGAATCCAGAGTTTTGGGAAGATTGGAGAAACTTAATTTTTCGCCCAAAAAAAAAAACGTAAGGGGTACCACTGTCGTTTTTTTTTCGGGCCGAATTTTTGAGTTTCGATATCTCAGCTCTGGAAGGGGCTAGAGCCTCCATTTTTGCACTCAGGTCTAAGTCTCATGGCCCTCTATCAGAATCCAGAGTTTTGGAAGATTGGAGAAACTTAATTTTTCGCCCAAAAAAAAAAACGTAAGGGGTACCACTGTCGTTTTTTTTTTCGGGCCGAATTTTTGAGTTTCGATATCTCAGCTCTGGAAGGGGCTAGAGCCTCCATTTTTGCACTCAGGTCTAAGTCTCATGGCCCTCTATCAGAATCCAGAGTTTTGGAAGATTGGAGAAACTTAATTTTTCGCCCAAAAAAAAAAACGTAAGGGGTACCACTGTCGTTTTTTTTTTCGGGCCGAATTTTTGAGTTTCGATATCTCAGCTCTGGAAGGGGCTAGAGCCTCCATTTTTGCACTCAGGTCTAAGTCTCATGGCCCTCTATCAGAATCCAGAGTTTTGGGAAGATTGGAGAAACTTAATTTTTCGCCCAAAAAAAAAAACGTAAGGGGTACCACTGTCGTTTTTTTTTTCGGGCCGAATTTTTGAGTTTCGATATCTCAGCTCTGGAAGGGGCTAGAGCCTCCATTTTTGCACTCAGGTCTAAGTCTCATGGCCCTCTATCAGAATCCAGAGTTTTGGGAAGATTGGAGAAACTTAATTTTTCGCCCAAAAAAAAAAACGTAAGGGGTACCACTGTCGTTTTTTTTTTCGGGCCGAATTTTTGAGTTTCGATATCTCAGCTCTGGAAGGGGCTAGAGCCTCCATTTTTGCACTCAGGTCTAAGTCTCATGGCCCTCTATCAGAATCCAGAGTTTTGGAAGATTGGAGAAACTTAATTTTTCGCCCAAAAAAAAAAACGTAAGGGGTACCACTGTCGTTTTTTTTTCGGGCCGAATTTTTGAGTTTCGATATCTCAGGTCTGGAAGGGTCTAGAGCCTCCATTTTGGCACTCAGGTCTAAGTCTCATGGCCCTCTATCAGAATCCAGAGTTTTGGGAAGATTGGAGAAACATATTTTTTCGCCCAAAAAAATAAGACGAAGGGGTACCACTGTCGTTTTTTTTTCGGGTCGAAATTTTGAGTTTCGATATCTCAGCTCTGGAAGGGTCTAGAGCCTCCATTTTTTGCACTCAGGTCTAAGTCTCATGGCCCTCTATCAGAATCCAGAGTTTCAAGAAGAGTTTCAAGAAGAGTTTCAAGAAGAGCACATGAGGGAACGTCTGCCAATTCCACCAACTGCGTTAAACGTAGCCTATAATTTGTATTATTTAAAATTACTTTTTAAATTCCAAAGCTTGTAGAAGGTGGCAATACTGACCTGGTAGCCTTGAGTACATTAACTTGTTTAAGATAATGATTCATAAAACATATAATTATCAGTTAAGCCTATTTACTTAACTGACACAGACGAAAGTGAATGACTATCAGTCAAAATTCAGGGGGTTTAGGAGGGGAAGAAATAGGGCAGGATAAGGAGACTGAGAAAAAGAAAGATGAAGATGAGAAGAGAGCAGGCTATTGACAAAATAATCGAATGCCCACTGACATGGTTTTAAAGCTATTATTATCCTCTTTTTTGGCCTTCAAAAGTCTTAAATTGCACATAATTTGGTCAGAGAAATAAAAATTTTCTTGGGGGAGGCCCCAAACCCCACTTTTTGTCCCAGTGTTAAGAAATTTTAACATAGTATTGTCATTAAATCAGTGTAGATGGGCCAAATTAAACCATTAAAATATCAAGTAAATAAGTGGCTACTTGGTGTCACAGCGACACCCAAAAAGTATTGCTATACCACGATACTCAATATGTTGTCCCACGGTGAGCCATTTTTCTCTGTTGCACCTACACAAAATTTGAGGGTTCCCCCACCTGACAAATCCCACTTTAACCACTGTACCAAGGTAAAAAAAAATTTTTAATATATATTTACTTGCACGGATTAATTGTTCACCACAAGACTAGTAATATGCGCTAAGAAAGTAAATAGGTTCAATTTTGATTTCACGGGGACTTTAAGTAAACTTAATTAAGCAGAGTCAATATAGTAATATGCTTCAAACCCATTTCTGTTTATGAAAGCACACTTTAAAGAATACTTTCTGTAAAATATAGTTTAATAATAAATTTACTGCAAGGATACAGGATTTCTTTAAGTGAACTTAATATTATTCTTTGTATATATATATTTTTCACTTTAAGTATGCACTGAATTTAGTGCGTTCAATAAAAATATCCATAAACTAATATCCAATAAGCCAAATATACTTTCAAAAACTGAAAAGGTTAGTGCCAGGAAGTATTGAAATCATACACAATACTTACCACATAAAGTGAGCTTTTAAGTTTACGTGACAAAAACGTTTAATGATAACTTGAATTAAACTTCTTTTTTTTGTAAAGAAAGGCCTATATAATAATAAATGAATGGAATATTAATAAAAACATTTACCTCCATTTGAACTATGCTGTCAGTGCCTTTTTTAATGCCACTGCCTTAAATGTGATACCAGGAAGATCAAATCATTATTTTTTTAAAGGAAGCAAATATTACAGCGTATCAGGGTTCAAGACAAAGTGAGAGACAATTTCGATTGTATTTACTGATTTGCACAGCACTTCATTATCCATTAAAATGTATGGTGATGAATGGGGCTGATATTCTATCAAATACTGTGATGAGGACAGTGAATGTTTCCAGAGAGTGACTCCTCGCAGTGTAGAAAAGCACTAGAAAATGATTGTCAAGATGTGAAAATAGTCTCTGATGGGTGCTGAAGTTCCCCATTATGCATGGTGAGATCCCTCATTATCAAAGGCTGGGAAACCTCCTTCAGGCCCTTCATGGAAACGAAGAACATAAGCATTGATGGCCCTCATCTCACTTCTAATGATTTCTTCTGCATTTTATGTTCCCATCTTCCCAAACACTATGCAAAATTGCATATTTTCTCTGCCTCGTATATTAAAACAAGACATTTGGTAAGGAACAATGCTTTCCTCAAAATATAGACAAATACTCACAACAGTAATGGCGAGGGTCTTTCATAATGATAATGAAACTATGCTATAGTAAAAAAAAAGGGTTATTTGGTACCCTGCATGTGTTTGTCTGAAACGTAACATTAAGAGACCACCTGCTGATGCTCAATGCTCAATCTCATCAGTTCGTTCGCATCCTTGTGAAACAGATTTCTGGTGTGGCTGTCAAACACACTACATACCAGATGGTGAAAGTTGATGTTCCGTATCTGATGTCTCAAAACACAAGCAGAAAGGAGCAGGACTGTTTCTCTTTGCCTACTCGGATCCAAAGGGACTTTTTGGAGAGAGTCTGTTAATCATAACTGTTTGGTTTCATGGTTTGAGGCACTGATAGAACAAAAGACATGAACATATGGTTGGGAGAAAATGTGACGCAGTTTATCTAATACGGTTTATATACTGTGTATACAGGTTTGCTTTGATTTCACATCAGATTTAATGGTTTATTTGCAGGCTGCACAGTGCAGAACCAATGAAAGATCATCAAAGACGCATAAAAAATATCTGAATCAGAACTACGCTTCATGTGAAACACAACAACACTCGAATCATACAGATAGTATCGTACTATATCTAATTGAAAAAAAACAACAACGCACACACACTCTCTTTATGTTCACTCTGTCTCGCGCTGTAAAATACAATCATCTTCAGTGCAGTAAAACACCACGTCTCGTACGAGCTGCTCCGGGGCAACATCCATCACCAAAGCGTTTGGCAATAATGAGCACAAGATGGCAGGCTAGCCCGTAAAATGGTTTCATGGAACAGATCCACATCGAAGCCTCAGGAGAAATGTATAGGGGTCGTGAACCTAGGCTGGATTTGGATTGGTCGCTCCGAGTGGTCAGGGCACAAAGTCAGCCAATCGGTACCGTCCCCGACAGCTGCGTCAACGTGGTCTGAAGCTGATGTCACTGCTGTCTGGAAATCTGTGGAGCAGTTTCAGGTAATGCGGAGTAGAAGTGGCATAGCGACTTTAAAATCACAGTCAAACAGTCGTGCTAATGGCGTGCTTGTGGTAACGTCAGTCACGACACGAGACGTGTTCAGGGGAATCTGAAGGTCACCCGATGAATCTATGAATTCATTAGAAGTTACCTAGGGTAATGTGTCCATCAAAGATCTCCAGATGTTGCAGACGGATCATGTGTCGTGTTGACATCATATACAGCTGTGTTCCCAAGGACCTCACCTGTGACCTTTAAGACATCACAGGTTAAGGGTCTCAGGGACACAGACATACACTAGTATTCAGATGAACTCAAAAGTGAGGGGAAAATTTCCCGCTCTGGGTTTGTTTGAATGCAGCGTCACTTAAAGTTTAAAACAAAGTTTTTCCCACAAATTGCATGATTTCATTGTACATTCAAGTAGATATACAGAAAAATTAAGACCACGGATTTATGACACAGCTTTTTATTATTTTTATTAAAAAAAGTATCATTTACCTCACCTTATGATATACTGAAATATATATGTTTGTTATATCTATCCTTTGTATAAAATGTATTGCGGTTTCCGCAAAACTATTAAGCATAACTGTTTTCAACATTGATAATAATAAATGTTTCATGAGCACCAAATCAGCATATTACAATCTGAAGGATCATGTGACGCTGAACTAATCATGCTGAAAATCCAGCATAAATGACATTTTAAAATAGAAAACAGCTATTTAAACTTGTAATAATATTCTCAATCTTGCTTTTTTACAGAATTTTTGATCAAATAAATGCAGCCTTGGTGAGTTTAAGAGACTAACGTGATTCAATCTTACCAACCCCGAACTTTTGAACGTTATTAATAATAACGATTGATCTTGGATGAGGACCCTTCATTACCGTCCTACGTACCTTCATCGGATTTGCCGAAAGTAAATGAATCGATCTCACAATGACAGTTTCTTCTCCGAATCGAGTGACGTCGCTGGATGTCCTGAGACCTGTGGCAAACAGAAACAAGGTTTAACATATTAAACTCATTTGAACCCACAGGAATTGACAGCAACTGCCAAATTAAGGCTTAGCATCTCTGCTTCAGCAGCACCATAAAAGAGTGCGCAGTTTGTCCCGTCCGGCCCCCTGGTGGCAGACACCGAACACGACGCTTGAACCGAATGAACCCAAAGACAGATATGCACTGCCAGCAAACTGTCTCTGCCCTCTCTCTCTGGCTGCCCTCCTTTTCTGCCAAGCCTCAAACACAGAGGCATCGGTGTGAACGCAAGCCACATATATCTATAAAGGTGTGAGGCATATCATAAACCGGCTGGCCTTTGTGCGGTATATAGGCGACGTAGCCGGCGCGTTGCGGTTCTGAGATGTATAGAAAGCACGTATTCCCAGAAAACTGCAAACGCTGCTCTCTCTTCCTCTGTCTGTCTCGGTCTCGTAGTGCCCCAGTTTTAAGGCTCTTTCCAAAGAAGAGTGGAGGGGGAACCAGCAGACAAAAAGGCAGATTTGGAAAGGCATGCAGGGGAAAAAACAACAGTTTGCAGGGTTATAAGGCAACGTCAAACGTTTAAAAAGCCGAACATAGAAGTCTTCAGCTCGCTCCTCCTGGTCGTCCCAACCTAATTTACTGCTAAACGCGCTCACGGACATGCACGGTGCACCTCGTATGTTATACATTAAAGAGTTGTCACGAAATCCGCTATAGTGTCTCCCGAGCGCAATCCGACGTTCGCTTCCTTAGAGCCGTACGATAAACTAGTTTCCTCCATCCCTGTTTGACTTCTATCTCCCCACGGTCCCCCCGCGCTCTCCTTCTGTCTCCTAGCGTGGCGTTGATGCTGTGACACTCGTGGCGATCATGAGATAGGTGCGCTTTGAGCAGCCCACCATTATCTGATGCCGTCCCCTCTTCTCTTCCCTTTCTCTCCGTTTCTCCCTCCCTTCCTCTCATTACTCCTTCCTCCCGCCCGACAGAATCCATGTCTAATCCCCCCAGCATCATAAATCAGTGTCACCTAAACACTAACGCACCCAACCAGCGTGTGCCATGGACGTTCAGACCTAGTGCTGCTCCCTGTCGTCACTGTCCCTGCCTCCGCGTCTCGCTCCGCTTCCTCTAACCAACACCCCCCCTTTCTTCTCCTACTCTCCTGCATTTTGTCCATAGAATATCTGCCGTTCTCTCTCTCTCTTTCTCCCCCCCACAGCAACGTCTGGCACTCGAACGCAAGAACAGTCATAACACCTTGTGATTGATCTCAAGGCTTGGAAGGGTGTCTTTGTGTGTGAAATTGAACAGATGAGACAATATGGGAAAGATTGGTAAATTGGGAGTTAAAGATCATTTGGGAGATGGAGAGAAAGAGAGATTCCTCTCCCAGACAACAAAAGCTCTTCTGAGGTGATTACCCTGCAGTAATAAAAAGTGTCACCAGCCATTATGCTGCATTATACATTATACTAAACTCCTTCCTTTGACAGAAAGATCTGATCTGATGACAGGTTGGAATAACTCGTTTAAGGCTGTTTGAGGAAACTGCGCATGTTAGGTTACACATTTTAATTCAGACTATGTCATATGGTACATTTATATGAGCTACAGTAGTAGGTTACATAATCCTATAGCCTACTTAGTTTTAAATAATATACACTAGGGGCCTCACAATCTGAGATTACACTATGGGATTTACATCTGGAAAGAAGTAGGAAATGTATTTTTTATTTTAAAACAATAATGATGATGAAACAAAAATTAAGTTATTACCTACATTGAGTTTTAATATATATATATATATATATATACACACATTTAAGATTGTGTGTATTTCTAGGTCATTAAGCAAAAAAATTTATTTGTAACATCAATCATCTGACTTTACAAAATAATAATAATAAAAGTAAAAATGCTCAAATGAAACCATAAAATTCTTAAATTAAAAGGAAAAAATGAAGGAAAATTAATATTTAAAACAACCACAACAAAAAACAATAAAACGTCAAATTAAAAGGAAATTAATAAAAAATAATAACTTGTTAATCACTTTCACTTTTTATATTCTTACATATGCACTTTCAGCACGTTTATCTATGATATACTTTAAAGAGTAAATAAAATGAATTGTTCCGTGTAAAATGTATTATTTTTTTACGAGATTGTAACGTGATGGCTGTAATAAAACGCATACCGACGGATAACACAAAAGATCAGTCTTTAAAGAGTAACTAAACCCTAAACCAACTTTTTTAAGATAATGATCTGTAAGAATGGATCTTTATTAATACCAGTCATTGATTCGAGTAACTTTTTTGACATTTGTGTATAAAGTGATTTACTTCTACAATATATAGTGTAAAAACGTCTTAGTGCTGCCCTCTTCAGGTTGAACGGTGGCTACTGCAGTTGAATTTTCCTATTGGATGTTCCACACTTCGTGACGTACGCAGGTTTCAGCTCACCACGCTCTTGGTACGAGCTACGCCCCTGGCAGTATAAAAAACAGCTTGTTTCGTCTGTAGTGAGTCAGGAGTTGCAATTGTGAGTATTGAAAACGATCAGGATAGAGTGTTTTAGCATCTATTTCGTCCCCTCTATCTCCGCTGGGGTCTGCCCACTTTTTCAGCATTTTCAAATATTGCCAGTGGGTGGAGTCAGGCTCTGACCAGGGGTTTAGTTACCCTTTAATGAGAAACATTTAGAACACTGAGAAACACAACCAATACCATAAACAATACATGACAAAGATCTAAGGAAAACTCAGGCCTTGAAGAGACAGGTAATGATTAACGTATCTTAAGAACATGCAAACTCAATAAATTACGATATCTGGTTGAGCCAGTCATTATCAGAATGATTTGATTTAAGTCCCTCCCAGAAACATCTCGCATGATTGCATTCCCTAACACCAGAATCCGAACGCAAGATAACATGAGAGTTTTTATTGCGTTTCAACTGCACACTTTGAGATGTAACTCATTTATTATGTACGAAAAAAGAGCCACAGTGGCTTCCCCTATTCCAGCAACTTTCATTTTTATTAGATATTTTGCGCTATTTTCCTATGTGGTAACGATTACATGGTATAGAAACGCTGCTTCATTAGCCAGCGTTTTATTCAATATTCCAATTTTCCGCATATGCCATGAGCCACTTTGAATGGAAAAAATATCTAATGGCAAAGAATGCAATAGGGAAAGATACTGTTTGTACCCAGATGGTGTAGTTACGACATCTACCAGTAGGGGTTAACTAAGTAATGCTAACCAGTCAATTCATCACCACTGGTTTCAAGTATATAATCTCCAAGGATCTGAATACCAACAGCCTGTGTACAATACATATTCATGATGCACATTGTGAATTCACAAAACACACACTGATGAGGGAGCCGAATAAACAAACAAACAAAGAAGTTATAATCATGGCCATATTGAAAAGGGAAACAAACCATTAGATGGATTAATCAAAAGATAACGAGCCAAAACACCAGAGACAGAAGTGTTTGGGGAAAATAAAGTGAGGAAGAATCAGGTGATTATGACAGAAAGCATGATGCGCTTCTAAAAATGGATAAATATTAGCTTGCATTATGATGCGAGTTATTTAGAAAAAAACATCCTTTGAAACACCTGTTCTAGCATACCATCAAATGCGCCACTCAAATAATTCTCACTATATGATCAAACATTTGAAAAATCTGGAATCTTCCATCAAATAAAAGTTGGGCTTTCATTTTGTGCCGTACACAGGGCCGTTTCTTTGTTCTCGAGTCAGTCTCGACCCAGTCTCTCCTGAGTGCGATTCCTCTGTTTCTCGTAATGTGGAGCTGGGTGTGTGTTTACGTGTCTGGAAAAGAACAACGACAGGCACAGATTGCTGATATGTGCTCTTTTTATCTCTTAGAGGAGAAGGGCAACGCAATGCGGATCCTGGCAGACCGTGTGAGCGGCCAGACAGAGGAGGAGGAGACTGTTCTCATTCAGAAGATTGCTAGAGAGATGATTGAGGAGCTAATTGCAAACACACACTGACCACACAACTTAAAACCAATGCTAATTTCCTGCTATTATTATAATGTATGTGCTTGAGAAGAAAAGAACAGCAGTTTGCACCTGAATTCACACTAAAATGAGCTAATCTGAAGATTATGGGTAATGGAAAATGGATAATGAAGTGCTGCCTGGTTTTGTCTAAAATACTTTCAGTATTGAGGAAAAATGAGAAGAATGAGAGCCGCAGCAGTGCTAATTCTCTTTTTTTTAAACCATAAATACCTGTGCGAATTGAGTCATTTTTTCAATGACAAAATACTTTCTCCTCTTCCTGTTTAGTCAGCTATTGTGTGCTTATCTACAGTACAGCTTGTGATCAAATATAAAAGCGAGATGCTTTACCAACATTTATCCACATATTTCTCTCGATTGAAAAGATAAGAAAGTAAACGTTTTATAATCAATTGCTATATAATTTAATATTATATTATCCTGCCTGTTTTGTTTTTTTTAGAAATATAAATAATGATAGAAAAATGACGGGCTAATTAGAATGTTTTATTAAAACACTTAATATAACTTAAAGGGTTTGTGTGTCAAGCAGGACGAGGCCGAGGGCCCGCCAAGTTTTAATTTGTGGCTCACATGGCAGTAAATAATACAGTGATATGATCATGCAGACGTTACAGATATTTCATAAAAACATTAAAAACAAGTGGGGCTCTAAAATAACTCATTAAAAACTATTTAGCAGTAATTCACACTGAAAAATTAAATGTATTATTTAAAGCGTCAGCTCTATTAGAGATCATTTTGATCGGACTGAAAGGTGTGGTTTATTCCTTTTCTAATGCGATCGAGAGACGATGTAAACTCTTGATCGGATTAAAAACCGAAACTGAAATGTTCTTCCTGTTGAATAAAGTCTCATATATATGAGTGTCCCGTCATTCTAAAATTCTCCTTTCACTCGGCATTTGTAAAATGGAGCAGGACAACGTCCCATCAGTCCTCATTTCAATTCTCATCCACAGACGACTGGTTTTGGGGCGTGGGGAGGATTTAATCAAAGTGACTTAAATTGCATTCAATATTTTATAAGTTCATGCATTCCCTGGGAATTGAAACCAATGCTTCGCATTGATAGCAACATCATCCTCTATACGCAGATTTCATGCAGATACCATTTTGAAATCAAAAGCGAGACTCCGGTGGGAACAATCATGGAAGTACAGATGTATATAGTTTGTTCCTGCTTCTTTTTTTATGTTCTGAATATATATTTAAAAAATGTATATATTTCACTGTATATAGTCTAAACTATGAAAGAAATGTATGTACATTTTTAGAATAACAAATTTCTACATTAAACACAACAATATGCCATCGCATTCACGACTCTCCTGTGATTTAAAGCGACACTTCCGGTTTTCTTTCCACCGGAGCCATTTCAAAATGACGGCTGCGGTGAAATAGGCTACTGTTTGAGCTACATGTTGAACAACCCTATTAGGTACACAAAACACATTTAACCTCTTGTATATTTTCTCATGTCAATCTGTTATCTCCACCGTGTCGTTTTTAATTAGGAATTTACTAGACTTCATGGATTTGTTGGAGCCCTCTTGTGGATGGGGGCATTTGGGCACTCACCCAGACTGTCCATATGGGAGGTAGGGGTGACTAACAGCCTGTTAATGAGCGCAACAAACACTGAAACTACAAAAACAACAACAAAGAAAGTGCTGTGCGGATTCACACCATATGTTGCAGCTCAATTGTAAGGCAAAAACGACTGAAATGCTTGTCTATATGCATCTGATGGTCATTCATACTCACCTCGACGTAATGGTGACACCGCAGGGAAAGCTAGAAGGTTGTACAGTTAACTCCAGGCTGATTATGATGCAAAACCATACAACCAACTACCTCAGCCTGCAGCGCACTGACTCCTGGTTCGATTTCTATATACTCACAGTTAGATGTCAATATATTTCATGCAAAATGTCTTCCCCTACTGGACAACTGATGCAAAGCAAACACATCATCCACTTTGGAAAAATGATAATACTGTGATGCACAAGTAGACCTACTTACCAAAGATTTTTGCTCATTCAGAAAACACTGACACAAAAAAATCAAACAAATACTCCTATAAAAAATAATTACATAAAAATGTAAATCAATAAATGAGCAAATAAAAAATATTGGATAAAAGGTTCTTTCAGATGTCTGACTGACCTATAGGGTTAATTTACCTAACTTTACTCACCATCATGCTCCAAACCCAAAATCCGAACTCGTAAGACTTTCATTCGTCTTCGAAACAAAAATGGTTTCGGTTTCATTAAAAATATCTTCACTTGTGTTTTGAAGATGAAAAAGTCTTACAGGTTTGGAACAACATGTCAATAGGTCAATAGGTTGATGACAGGACTACCCCTTTAAGGAGTGCACTATGGGATCTATCCTTTTCTTATCTCTAGACATACACATCTTTATTCTTTTCAAAGCGGCCACAGCCTTAAAATCTGGAAAACCTGCATTTAATTCTACAGTGTTTTTGTGAACACAGAGTATTATGTCGAAGACATGATTGATTTCTTGACTATTATTTATTACAAATTTATTCATAATTGTGTTTTTACTATTCAAATTCTTACATTCATTATGTGTGTGTGATGAATCCTTGAATGAAGCTGAGAGCAATTCAAATTATGCAGATAAAATACCTTCTAAGAGAAGGAACGGTATTTAAAACACAATTCAAGAGACTGACATGAAGCTTTTCATGTAGAGAAAAAAATAATCAGGATGGATCAAGCCATCCAATAGTGCTGTTGTTCAAAGTCTTACTTATTGTACTACCGAAAAGAAAGTCAGATTTGGGGCGTTTGAAGTACAGTACTTGGAAATTGCACATGCTTAGCGAAGTGAAATCAATCAATTTCGTATATGCAGTTCAAACAAGATAAAGACCCCTCATCCGTTTCATTTTGAACTTTTGTCTGAAATCCTGGAAAATGAATCCAGCCTGTGGATAAGTCTATATTTGCTTATCTCTAGAATGAAAAATCTCTCATTTCCAACCAAAAAAAGCTAGTTTATCTGCAAACAACTACCAGAAACTTGGCACCAGATTTGAATTAAGTTATAGTTTACCAAAAAATAAAAAAAGGCATTGTTTACTCACCCGCATGTGGTTCCAAAACCCTTATGAATGACATTCATTCTGCGCAAAACAAAAGGAGAAATGTTCTGATTTACATTCAATTATTATGAAAGAGGATTTAAAATTCAATAAAAGCACCACTTAATCATAGATGAATGACTCGTGCACTATATTCCAGTTGACAACAGTGTATTTACAACACTTCAATGAACATCTTAAAATCCCCCTAGAAGTAGCAAGTTGTAACGGCCTCGTTCCGTTTTGGTTTCATTTTAATTCAATTCCTGTTTGCCAGTGTTCCCTGTTATTATTAGGGTGTGTCTCAATCAGCTATGCAATATTGCAATGTTGAGAAAACATTGTTAAAAGTTAAATGATTTCTGTAAATCCAGTGATCAAATCCATAGTGGGTCACAGTTTTCAGTGATAGACATGTGACTAGTCACATGGTCTGTGTGCGCAATCCCAAAAACCTGGAAGAGCTTCAAAACGTATATAAGCAGTAGGCTTTTTTTAGGCCCCGTCCACACTACTGCGTTTTCATTCAAAAACGGAGACCTTTTGCCACGTTTGCACCTCCTGTCCAGACTAAAACGGAAAAAAACGAGCTGAACGACCTAAAAACACTGCGTTTAGACACACTGCAGCTTCGTTTTGCGTTTTAAATCTCCGGAGAGCGTTTTAGTGTAGACGGAACAAAACGGAGGAGTTTAGAAGCGATGACGCAAAGGCTGACGCTCGGCTTTATGATTGGGTGTCATCAGTCATGACGTATCCTTCCCTGATTCGTTAGCCACTGTTTACACCGGCATGCGCATGCCCAGTGTTGGTGAATTGTCATGTGATCCACGTTTTCAGTCGTTTTAATGTGGACGGACATAAATTCTAATACGCAGATAAAACGCTGGTGTGGACAAAGATCGTATTCGTTTTAATTCTCCGTTTTTAAACGAAAACGCAGTAGTGTGGATGGGGCCTTAGTAAGGAAAATTTCAATATAACAAATAAGCAGAATCACTGAATTATGACTAACCGACTGCCATTGTGAGAATAACATGCAATCATGTAATTCAAAGAAAAGTAACACAATATTTAAAATTGTAATCTAATTACAAGTATTTAATTTTTGTAATCGGATTACGTCATCCAGATAACATGTAATCAGTTACTACCCAGCCCTCTCCATCTGTCCCATCTCAGTGACCTTTTATGATGGTTTACGCATGCACAGTAAGGTGAATTTAGCATTTTCTAACATTTCAGTGTAAATGAGAAACTTCGGGTAAACGTGCGTTGAGGAGAAAACACAGTTTTCAAATGTCTCCGAATTAAGTTATCAAAAGACTTTCTGAATTTCATTCTGAGTTGCGTATGTATCATGTGCAATACGTTCTTTTGTTTCTTCTCAATGAAAGTTAACCTGGTTCACAAAACAAGACTGAATGATTTGCTTGGGAATCAAACTGATGCGGTTCTTGAGTTCAAATCACTCATGATACGTTTCGCATCAGTTAATAGCTCACCACAGGGGAAAATAATCAGATTATTGTGATTTTTTTTTTATTGCGACGAAACGGTTAACAGTCACACTGTTCCCAGACAACTGCAGACACATATGTTGGACAGCTCTGTTCCTCTGACAATGACAGAGATCTCCAGGGTGAGACATGAATGCGGTCCAAACATTAACTGAGCGGTCTTTTCAGGTCCTTTCTCATTCTCTGTCCTTTTCACAGCCAAACGCATTAATTTTTTAGACGCAAACTAAACTAAAAAGCTTGACAGTTGATAGCCTGTCAACATAGTTGGCCTATAGATTTGTGCCTTCTGCTACTAATGCTGCTGTTGGTCACTTATGAGGCTTAATATCCTTTAAGACTTTTGTCCTTCTCTTTCTGGCACAGCTCCACCCTATCTTCCTCCCTTTTTCTTTTTCTTTCTCTCACTGCCACATTCACAGTCCAATCACGTGCGAATGCGGCACGGTGGTGCCAGTGCCAGCTTTTTGCCAACCTGAATGTGTGTGTATGTGTGTGTGTCTTTGCCAGCACGAATCACTGGGACATAAGGTCAAAACACACTTATCATGATCTTAATTATCAGACCACAAAGCAATGAAGCAGAAAATCTTTAGGAGTTTTAAAGTGTTTTCAGTTTTAAATGAATTTAAAAATATAAGATTTAATTTGAATTTTTGATTAAAAAAAAAGTGGCATTGAGAAGGATTATTTTTGAATTTGTATTAAAAAAAAAAGCACAACATGAAAAAATTAAACGTTTATCACATACATTTAAGTTAAATTTAGGGCCAGTTCACAAAAGTCTTTCTGATTCCCTCTATCTCTCTCTCTTTTACTCAAAAGAGGGTTTTTTTTTTCAATCAGTCTTTATCTTCTGTCCAACCTCATCCAAACTCTCTTTCTCCCCAAAAGCCTGAGTGTGTTTGTCTGCCGATACCTTATTCAAAATGCCAGGGAATGGCAAGTTGCTATGGGAACTCGCTGCTTGGCAACTTGCTGGGTTGGCGACGTGCCCATCGGTTGCCAGGGCAGTGTTGTCAGTGGCAGCAAAGTGCCATGCCAGCTGTGTGCGACTGGATGTGTATCTATATTTTGTTCATTTTGTTTTAGTCTATACGTATAAATTATATGTACTATGCATTTACGATGGCTATGTGATTAAAAATGATGCAGAAAAACGTATTCGTAAAATTCATAACTAGACGAGAACACCACACCACATCGAAAGTGGAAATGCTGTACATCTTTGTACAGCATGCGGTGAATCTCACGAAAACCACGTCAAAAAAGTGTTCAGTTCATAATTAAGACATAGCAATCAACCGAAAAAATAAGAAAGGTTTTTTTTCCCTTATAGAAATATAAGTATTATATTATCATAAAAAATAATGTTAAAAAATCACTCTCATCATGTAGATTTTTTTTTTTACTTCAATTGTTAAGAATTTATAAACCATTTTAGTATTTGTGGTACAGTCTATAATTTATGCAATGCAAATTTTTCTATTGCAGCACAGCACAAATGGGAATTTTATTTAATTTTTAAAAGTAAAACATCAAACGATTTTGGGAGAAGGATGGCTTAAATGAATGAAAATATGAACAAAAAAATATGCATCATTTTATTTATGCAAAATATAACTTTTTCCCCTCTGATTTTTGATGAAATATGTCCATGTTTTTACAAGATTTTTCTCTAACATTTAAATCATTAGCTCTAAACATCAAAGAAACGTTTGAGATTCCCTTCAGTCACAATGTATGACAGCGAGATTAAAACATAAAAGCAAAGAAAGAGAAAGATGGTCATTTTCATTATTACCGTATGCTGCAATTCCTTCTGTCGTTCCAGTCTTGGAGAAACATTCTAAACTGCAGTTCGAAAGCATTCCTGCCATCAGAAAAGACATTAAATATTGATAAATATCTGTATAGAAAGATTTACAGGATAAGGTCATGGCAATTTATTTATTTACACAAAACATTTATCATGCCTCAACAAGATTAACCTCCCAAAAAGGCAATAAAATGCAAGTGAAAAAGGATCTACAGTATCTATCTAAAGTGTTAGACAACTGTGGACGTTATGCAGCAGGATTTACTTATTAGATGGTATTATCAGCGAACACTGTCAGGTAACATTTTCCATTGTATATAAGTGGTCCTCAACTAATGTAGAGAGGCATAATCGGCAAGCAGAAATTTAAATGGAGGTCCACATGTTGATGAAAAAGTATGTAGGTTAAGAGCGTACTTATATTGAATGAATAAAAACGTCCATGACACATAATTAATATACATTCTTAAGGCCCATTCACACCAAGAACGATAACTATAAAGATAACTATATTAGCATCCACACCAGGGGATGATATCATTCGGTTTACTCTAAGCACAGTCTATCGCTTTAAATGGTTGAGCTTGTTACAGCAGGATTGATTCGGATTGGCTGGTTTTATTGTTCATCAGCTGGATAAAATCATTCTGAAAGTAATTCCAAAGATAGCGGGCAAAGATAATATTGATATTGAGTAATATCGAGAAATGTTTTTAGAACTATACCTATTTTTATTGTTATCTTTATGGTTATAATCCTTGGAGTGAATGGGTCTTTACACTGAACAATACAAGCAAATAAAGACTAGAAATGATAGGAAAGAATGCAGATGACAACTATAACCAATAAAAAAATCTTGACTTATTCATTAAGCCTCACAGAAAAATACCAAATGAATATCTGCAATTCAATTCTAGTTGCAAAGTACCTTTCTCAACGCATTCAGAACGCATTCAAAGCAGCTTTACAAAGAATCGCCACAGTGAGCAAGCCAAAGGTGACAGTGACAAGGATAAACTCTTTAAGCTGTTCCAGATGTATGTAGAGAAAAGGGAATGTACAGAAGAGGAATTTGAAGTGTTTTTCATACTATTTCTACCTTGAAAATATTCTAAACTCTTCAAAGCACTATTGGACTATAAGTGATGTGGTGGTCATGACCAGTTTTTACATATAAAAATATATATATTTTTTTTTATGAATTTCATGTGATAGAATAAGGCTAGATAATATAATGAATTATACCTATTATAACTGAATCTTTAAACTTTAATAGTTTTTTAATTTAACAGATTGAACATGTTCTCCATTCAATTATTTGAGCCTCAGGTATTTGCACCATGGCACTTTGATGAACATCATGGTACTAAATACCATATACAATGCTAGCCTATTTAAATGGTAGTCAAAGTACTTCAACATTTCTGTGGCATAAAATAATACAATAAAAATAAATATAAAAAAAAGATGAAACCTTAAGTAACACTTTTCGTTTTAAATATTGTTATATATTTTGTGTGTGTGATTATTTTCTCATTTTGTTTTTCTGAGGTGCACTGCAAAAAATCCAATCTATTTCTAGTCCTTTTAATAACACTGATCATCTTTCTTTGAAAAGAGGCTCTTCAGAGGTTTTCAAGGGACTGCACCTTTAATTGTCACCAGTCAAGTCCTTCTCAAATCTTTCCTTCAGGACAGAGATCAATATGGCATCTGTGCCTCCAGTCTACATCATTACACAGTCTGATGGAGAGACCTGGTGCAAGTGGGTGTTTTCAAACCTTTCTACTCTTTACACTTCTAAATAGATTTTTAGTGAAAAAGTATGATTAAGGATGAAAAATCGTAATTTATTTTGTATTTGAGCGCAAGTGACATTCACTAAAGAAGTGAGTGGTTTATGGCGTGTGATTCTGAGTGTGTGTTGGCAGTGGTCTGAGCAGTCTGTGTGTCCTTGTGTTTGCACAATGCGGCAGAGGGCGGATAACTAAATCAATAAGAAACAAATGAATTCAGATCAATATCGAGTCAAGTGATGGATAAAAGTGGATGAAGGAGAGAAAGACTGACAAAGGGAAAAGAGAAAATAAAAGATGGGGAATTTGGGGAAACACTTCGATAGCCTCTAAGACAAACTAATGCACTTGTACCTGCAAAAAATTATATGATCAATAAGTTATGACAACATGTTTTTACATTGCTTTAACTCATTACAATAAGTTAAGCTATTTTTAACTTCTTTTATAAGCTATTCAAGATTCAACTAATTCAGTTGAATGTAATTTAAGTTGAAATGACTTAAACATCCAAATTGATTGTACTTAAATATTTAAGGCAGTTGGTGCTTTGCAAGTTTGCTTTACTAATATTTATGGGCTGATAGGCTAATATTTATATGAAAATTTTCATATAAATGATGAAATATATGATGAGCTACATTTTTTTATTTTAGCAATACTATAATACTCCAAAGGTAGGTAAAGGAGATGCCAAGATCTGTGCTGGTTATTCTTTATTTCTCCATATCTCACCCAGAACTCACCATGGAAACCATGTTTTTCATAAAATGTCCTAGTAACTACAGTAATCATTTGTGGTGTAAAGCATATTCATTAAAAAAAAGTACTGTGTCAGTACCATGGGATCATCAGATGATAATATCCTGGTAATTTTGGATATAACAGTACTGAATTTTCACTATTTTCAATTTTCAAATACCATGGCATTTAGGGTGTTCACAGGGAGGTATGCATCACATGTGGTGTTTGTCAACTCACCTTTGGAGAGAAGTGAAAGTGACCACTAGTAAACGCCCATGCTCGACGCGGGACCCGCGTCTTCAGCCAGTGCTGTAAAGGGCGCATGCGAAGCAGACCTAAACAAAGAAACAAAAATTATTAATTTGTGAATGGAATAGTGTTGTCACGTTACTAGAATTTCTAACTTCGATACAATACCTTGAAATATATGGATATTCGATACCATTTTCGATACCACAGAGAAAAAAAACTGACACAATATTAAAGGGGTTTTTTTTTCATTTAAGCTAAATATAACCTAACCCAAAGCTACATTTTCCAACATGCCCGCTTGCTGTGTTCTTTATCAATCAACCAAAGCCAGTCACGGGGGCGCCGCCCTCGCCATCTTTCCATTCACTTTACTTACTATTTAACCAGCCAGTGCTGTAAAGGGGGGCATGCGAAGCAGACCTAAACAAAGACACTAAAATTATTAAGTTGTGAATGGACTAGTGTTGTCACGATACTAGAATTTCTAACTTCGATACGATACCTTGAAAATATCGATATTCAATACCATTTTCTTTAATACCATTACCGTCAACTTTTGAACAGTAGTGGATCCAAGAAAACAAAACCGCAAAAGATTGAAACTTAACTATATTTTAACATAATGTTAATATCTTTTCAAACCACAAAGCCCAAATCCATATATCCCTCGCTCACTTCCTCTTTTACACCCATCACTTAGCAAAACCACCTCATCTGTTTGAAATCACCACAGACTCTTAAATATGATTTCATTTGACAATTCCATTGAGGTCCATTGTTCACAGAAACAGTTAAATGCAATATATTTTCATATGAACTTGGATGGAGGGAATGAGTGGATCGCTTCATAAGCCTGGTCACATATCAACACAATTTATTATTTGCTTGCTGCATTACGTGATAAAGCAAAATATATGTGTGTGTGTGTACGCGTTTAAGTGGACATTAAAGGAGGCGGACAGAAACGGATGAAGGGATGGAAATCTATAGTAATTGAACTATGGAATAGTGCAATCAACATTCAGTTAAACAAGTGAATCATGCAGCAGTGGGTGAAAAAGAGAGAACAATGTAGGACGAAGAGAAAAAGGCATGTATATAGTGACAGCAGATTCAGTAGCAACCTGCGTTTTTAAACGTCATAGAGCCTTGAACCTGAAACATAATTATACTTGCTCTTAATTAATTTCTTGGTCTGTGCATCTTATTTCGGTGGCATTTTCAGGATTTTTTGTATTAAAGAATCCACCCCTAATATCCCTTTAAGACAGCTGTAGCCTACTGTTTAATTACGTGGTATAAACGTTTCTTTATTATCGTGGGCAAGCCAATTACAATGCAGTGTATACTTGACCTTGAAACCTAACTCGTGTTATCAAGGTGATAATGGAGTACATAACAACACATGACTATATAATAAACATGTTTACATCATACAATATTCACTACAACCATCTCTCATTATACAGTCAGCCACTAATACTATAGTTGTGCACAGAGTAGATAGATCAAATTAATAGACAAAATATTAATTAAAAACACCATGCACTTTTAAACTTTACTTGCGTTCTTATGTAACTGCCATTTATTCCAGTCAAGAAAAAAAAAACAGTGATCTGAAAAGAAAATAAGGAGAGAAAATAAACTGTGATATAAAGATCTGACTCATGTATAAATTCAAGGTCTATAAAATCTACATTCAAGACATTCAGCAACAAATCTCAGAACAATTTAATTTAAATTCAATTTAATAACGAGTTAGTGAAATTCAATCAGTAGCATCACAATCCAGCATCCTGAATATAAATTCAAAAACATTGGGAATAACTAACCTATGCACACACTGTAAAAATAATTATATGGAAGACGGATGGATGGATGTTATTTGGGTTAACAGCTGTGTCTTGTCTCCAATGCTTGAATTGAATTTCTATGTGTCCAGAGCTCTCTTGAGGGTCTGTTTTGCCACTCAGATCAATACGACTTCAGAGACTGTTTGCACAAAATGAGTGTGAAAAATGTGTTGGAAAAAAGATGGATTGATAAAAGGGATAGTTCAGCCAAAAATGAAAATTCTGTCATCATTTACTTACCCTCATATTGTTCCAAATCTGTATGACTTCTTCTGCAAAACACAAAAGAACACATTTGGAAAAAAATGTCTCAAGTGTTGTTTTGGAACCCAATGTTCTTTAAAATATCTTTCTATGCCCTCTTTGAACTGCCACCTCACCATGGGTACCCGAATGACCCTAGGAGCTATGTTTTCCGGGGCTATATGCCCCTGCTAGGGTCTCCCAATGAAAACAGATCCTATGTGACAGGTCAGACTAAGATCGGTTCAAAAACCCTTTAAGATAAAGTTAAAATTGTGACGTCGCACGGCATGGCACAGCTGGGACCACCCCCCTGGAGCCAGGCCCGGGGTTGTGGCTCGTATGCCGGGCCTGAAAGAGCGACTAGGGGATGCCTTCCCATGGCCTCACCACCTGCAGGAGGAACCGTAAGGGGCCGGGGTGCTCAGTGGATCGGGCGGTAGTCGAAGGCGGGGACCTCGACAACCCGATCCCTGGACAAAAGCTAGCTCTAGGGACATGGAGCGTCAACTCACTGGTAGAGCATGAGATTGAGCGTGAGGTTGAGAAGTACTGAGTAGAGATAGTCGGGATCACCTGCACGCACAACATGGGCTCTGGAACCACACTCTTTGAGAGAGGATGGACTCTTTACCACTTTGGAGTTACCCATGGTGAGAGGGGACGGGCTGGTGTGGGTCTTACTTATAGCCCCCAGCTCAGCCGCCATGTGTTGGGAGTTCACCCTGGTGAACGAGATGGTAATTTCCCTGCGCCTTGGGTCGGGGATAGGTCTCTCACTGCCGTGTATGTGCCAAATGGCAGTGCAGAGTACCTGGCCTTCTTGGGGTCTCTGGGAGGGGTGCAGGAAAGACTCTGTCGTTCTACTGGGGGACTTCAATGCCCACGTAGGCAGGGATAGTGACACCTGGAGGGCCTGATTGGGAGGAACGGACCCCCCTGATCTATCTGAAACTGACCGGTGTTTTGTTATTGGACTTGTGTGCTAGTAACAGCTTGTCCATAAAGAACAAATTGTTCAAGCACTAGGGTGTCCATTAGTGCACTTGGCATCAGGACGCCCTAGGCCGGAGGTTGATGATCAACTTCGTGGTTGTTTATTCCGACCTCTGGAGCTATCAACTGATCACCACATGGTGGTGAGTTGGATCTGATGGTGGGGAGGAAGCTGGACAGATCAGACAGTCTCCGGTCAGAGAGATCTTCGTCTCCCACCTCTGGCAGAGCTTCGACCGGATCCCGAGGGAGTTTGGAGATGAGTCCGAGTGGATCATGTTCTCCACCTCCATTGTCGACTCAGCAGCAAGGTCTCCAGTGCATTTCGAGGCAGCAATCCCCGAACCCAGTGGTGGACACGGAAGTAAGGGATGCCGTCAAACTGAAGAGGGAGTGCTAGTTCCCAGTGCCCCGCCAACGCTGTTTACAGTGGAGGTGGGCAGCTGTTGACCTCAACTGGGGATGTCGTCGGATGGTGGAAGGACTACTTCAAGTATCTCTTCAAACCCACCGATACGTCTTCCATTGAGGAAGATGCTGAAAGCTCTGAGGTGGACCCAAGCTGAAGTCACCAAGGTAGTAAAGAAACTCCTCTGTGGCAAGGCACCGGAGGTAAATGAGATCCAACCTGAGTACCTCAAGTCTGGATGTTGCGGGGCTGTCTTGGCTGACACGGCTCTGCAGCAGCACGTGGCGGTCGGGGACAGTACCTTTGGGCTGGCAGACCGGAGTGGTGGTCCTCTTTTTACTTATCAGCCTCCCCGGGAAAGTCTTTGCCAGGTACTGGAGAGAGAATATGGCCGATAGTAGAACCTCGGATTCAGGAGGAACAGTGCGGTTTTCCCTCACGGCGCCCTGTGGATGGTGCTCTGGGATTTTGGGATCCGGTGCCTTTTGGTAAGGGCTGTCCGGTCCCTGCACGACCGGAGCAGGAGCTTGGTTCGCATAATCGGCAGTAAGTCAGACTTCTTCCCAGTGCATATTTGACTCTGGCAGGGCTGTTCTTTTTTTGCCGGTTCTGTTCATAATTTCTGAAGAAAGAGCTGAGCCGCAAGGACACACTGGAGGGACTATGTCTCCCGCCGGGCCTGGGAATGCCTCAGTGTCTAGGGAGAGGGAAGTCTGGGCATCTCTGCTTAGATTGCTCCCCCGCGACCTGGCCCCCGATAAGCGGAAGATGGATGGATGGATGGATGGATGGATGGATGGATGGATGGTGTTGTTGTTTTGGAACCCAGTGTTCTATAAATGTCTTCTTTTGTGTTCCGCAGAAATAGAAACGCATACAAGTTTTGTACGTCATTGGTGTAATAATTTTCATGTTTGCCTAAACAATCCTTTAACAAATTACAATTGAGTATAACAGTAACAAAGAGTATTAATGAAATGACCACAACTGAAACGCCAGATTCCCTTCGCATTGTAATACGAAACTGGCCAATCTAATCGTTAAGACAGATGTGCTGCCCAATTACTGACTGTAGCCCTTTGAGAATGAGAGCTACAAATCAGACACGACCAACAGTACCAGGCACTCTAATGCACCGATAACAGACACTGTCTCTGTGTCTTTGT